AGAGAGAGAGAGAGAGAGAGAGAGAGAGAGAGAGAGAGAGAGAGAGAGAGAGGGAGGTTTCCGTCAGTTTGTGCTGAGATTTCTGCAATATGAGACTTTTTTTCACACTTTAGTCCTCTCTGTGGATGTCTCAGCACTGACTCACAGATTATCGATCTACCTGCTTGCAGGATATCAGCGTGGGCCTTTAACCAAAATCTCCCCTCACAAAACACAAAACATCTGCGTTGCTGACTCCCATAAAGCCCGACTGACCACCGCAGTGAGAAACTGCACTCAGAATAACGGAGAGGCCCAAAATCTGCAGGCTTTGAAGCTACCAGGAAGCCATTTTCTCACTCAGTACACATAACACCCCGGCCTTAGCGAGAACCCAAATCTCTTACTTCACACAGGAAATGAAGAAAGGATGATGAAATGTATGAGGAAAGTAAAAACTGAGACGTGTAAATGGTTAAAAAAAGAGCTGAATCAGCTTGTGAACATATGACTTTATCTGTAAATCCACAGTAAATATGTTGTAGAAGATAAGCAATTGATCTTGTAGTTTTTCAAAAACAAAGACCAAAACTCACTTTTTTCTTTAATAAACACAAAATATAATTGTCATTTAAATCATTGTGCAGAAGACAATTGCCTGCTTCTTTTTTCTGTTATCGTGGCCCCATGTTAAATTGACATCAACAAAAAAAAACGATTATGTTTTTGGACTAATTGGACTTGCAATGAAATTAAACATAAATAACCACGTAACGACAAATAGATGGGATTTTGGGTTATAAACTAGTTTTCACATAAAATGCTTTTAAATGTTTGAGAATGATGAACGTTAGAGGTTTTATTGTGACAGACATGCAAATTAGTTTTCTTTTACATCTACCGTTATTCTGAAAAGATAAGTAAGTATTCTTCTGTTTGACAAGTCCAGGAAAAGGAAAGTGTAAAACACCTTGGAGGAACATGGTGGAGAGCGAGCAGACAGGTAAGAACACTGCTTAGGATGAAGGTTGAGTTTTATAGCAGAGAAGTATCCCAAATAGCAACATTTGTCTGGTCCAGAGGTGGTCCATGCATGGGCCAGCACCACATAAACCAAACCAAACCAAACCAAACCAGTTGTGGCATTCAAGTGACTTCAACAGTCTGGACTCAGCCTTTTAACTGGTGCTAGATTGGTGGTTAATGAGCTGCAGGTGGGACCATTTAAAGGTGACATCTGGTCGATCTCATCACATCAGTGTCTGCTTACAAACTCCACCTAAAAAATTAGAAAAATGGAAAAATCTTGGTCTAAAACCCATGCCATGAGACATTCAGCAAGCTTGTCAGCATCATTCTGCGTCTAATTTAGTTTAGGTTCCATTTTTGTGCAGTGATGGTGTTCCAAACCTCTACTTTTAGTTTCTTTTGACAGAGAGCCAGTGTGATTTAAATTTGAAATCCACGACCGTGGCTGTCTTGCCTGAGGTCGTACGGGTTGCGCTCACAGAGCAGTGTGGGGTGATGCTGATGCTCTGCTCTTCTTAAGGCTGAATCCCAGATGAGGATGTGCTGAGGACCTGACAGCAGCAGATTCATCATTCCTCACAGGCGATCCATCACCATCAGGCAGTCGGAGCCTGAGGGGAGGTGTCCAGGGAAGACCTGAGGGGAGTTTTGGGCTTTGAGTGTATACCCCACAGTGGGCTCAGTCCAACATGTGCTTCCTGCAGGGGGTGGTGCTGCGATCGGAGCAGCCTGTGTATCCACATGTTGAGGTGAGAGACTGGGAAAAACCAAGAAACAGGCAGAGGAATGACATTAGTGTTGGACTTACTTTATGGTCAAACAAATATCTGAGGCAAATTCAAGATGGCTGCCACAGTTAATGGACTTAACAAACACAAAATGGACCACGACTCAGTTAATTTAACAGTAAATGAGTTTAAATTCAGTGTGGTGGTAGCTGAGAGTCACCCCGTTCACATTTTCTCACCCGTCTGATTGCATTGGAATGACTTTTGTAGTCAACAATGTTTGCCTGTTAGCAAAATATCTCACGAGTCACTGGGTGGACTTTGTTGAATGCATAATTTTTCTGACTCCAGCCTGAACAATATGCAATATTTGAGAATAAAAACCATAAAAATCATATTAAATCCTTCACAATTTATGTCAACATACTTTTTGAAACATAACAAATTGTTCTGGAAGCTTTAACATCAGTATCAAGATTATTCCATAAATGTAGTCTTTGAGTTGTAGAATGGTATTTCTTCAAACTACCAGTAGTTAAAAATTGAGTTTTTTTTAAAAAAGATATCTATTTCTTGAAGATTATATAGACACTCTCTTTTTACCAATTTTAACTGGATATTTGTCCCTCAAAGGGCCAGTTGCTATTCAACCAAACATGAAAGAATGGCCATGTCTCAATTCATGGGTTGCAGCCAACGTCGGCCGCATTTTTTGCTGCTTGCATCACTGCCCTGTGACGTATAGGCTGTGTCAGTTCGTAGGCAACTACTCATGCCGCCGACAAATGCGGCCGACAAAATTCAGAAAACATTGGCTGCATCTGAGTATACTACGCTGCCGGTGGTATCCCAGAATTCATTGCACTGTCAGCAAATTAAATAGGAAAACAAAAAGGGTTTATTTTAATTTTTTTAATTTTACGGTGGAGTTTGTAATAAACTTTTAGACTGAGTTTGGAAATTTATCACGGACCGAGGAATGTAAGTTAAACAACTTTGCTGAAGAAACTTGTTGCATTGAGATGTTAAATAAAAATGCCGTTACAAGTACTGATACTGGAGCTAAACTCAAATTATTAATGCTTTTTATTTATTTACTTGTAACAGTTTTCTATTAAAACTGAATTTTGTGAATTTATACCTTGAAAAAATCAACTGAGGCGATGTGACAAGGCAGCGTGTGATCACGCAAACATACATCTAGACTCGACCATCTCATTTCACAGTCGATTATGCCGCCGACATGAGCAGCAGAACGTTGGCCACAGTCTACATCAGTTGCAATCCATGAATTGAGACACAGCCAGCATGATCCTCATCTCATTGCTACAACTGAACACAGCTAACAAAAAAATACCTGAGCTCTATGTGGTAGTTCCTGCATAGAAAACGTCTTTCAACACTTCCTCTTACAAACACTAAAAAGTACTACGTGTATGACTGACTAAATGTAAAATAAATAATACAGAAATATTATTACAAGTAAAAGTAAGAGCTTTACTCACTGTTGAGTCGTAGTGAGTAGCTGCTGTCTTAAATCCCGAACTCGCCCACTTTCCAACAGGGATTTCCCACTGGAGGGTCGTTTCAGTTTAAATTCACGACTTATAAGTGGGGAAATTCCCACTTCCCAGTACAGCTGGGCTGCAACAAAAGTAGCTGTCAAAAATGTAGAAAAATTGAGATTTTATAAACTGAACTTCACCCTGTGCACCTCCACCTAGTGGTGGGATGTTAAAATAATCAACATGCACTGTGGGAGAAGTAGTTTATAGTCAATAAAGACTTTAAAGCAGAATATGTGTTTTTGAAGCTCTAGTGGGCCACCTCAATTTTTTGGCCTACCTCAAGTACACAAGTATTAAAGAGAGAACACAATGATGAATATTGTTGACATATTTGTTTTTGAAAATATTTTTATTTTCAAAGCTCTCACCTTGACATTTTCAACAAAAAACACAGGTTCTTTTTGTAAAAATACGCACGTTAATCGCAGAATTTTCAGAACCCCTGGAAGACACGTCTGTCTGTAAACGTGGCCTGTTTTACTTCTCTAAGCATCGTGTGTGCGTGTCCCATTGCTCTCTCCCACCACCTGCGCAGCTGTCCTTTGATGCAGGGCAGTGGTGTGTCATCCAGATGTGGCTGCAGAGGAGCGGAGAGTTCAGTTGGTCCCCAGGGATTTCTCCCCTCCCCGACCCCCCTCACACCAGCAGGAGCTGCTGGGACGAACCATACAGCTGACATGTGTGTGCATCTCAAAACATCTCCTTCTTACCTCTTCACCCTCTATGTAGCTTTTTGTTTGTCCTTCAGGAGGCCTCATATTACAAAGATCTATTGTATGGGCTGAAGGGCAGAGGGAAACGTTCTCTCCCTGCACTTCATTTGCTTCACTTTGTTGTCTCCATATGTTGAGAAAGTTATTTCTTTTACATCATCGCGTTGTGTCCTCCAACAAAAGCCCCCTTTTTCAATCTGGACCAGGAGAGGCACAGGTTTAATTCACAACACGACGCCCAGGGGCCCTGTTGCTGCAGACTTCACTGTCACGGCTCACGGAGACTCTTGGATTTTGTCTGAGGCGTTGTTAATAAAATTAGAGACACCTGTGCTGTTCCTGCTGTGACCAATCAAAATGTCTGTTGGTTGGTGGGACTAAAACAGCCTCCTAAACAAATAAAAGCCGATTTAGACAGCTTTTCTAAATTGAAGTTGTACACACATTTTACTGTGGACTTTGTTCTTTATGTTTGAGAAATTTGTGAGAAAAGTCCAGCCCAGGGTTCTCCAGGCAACCTGCATCTCACACAATCCCTCTCTCTTTAGGAGCTTACAGCAGAAAATCCAGGAGATTCGGGGAACATATGTGTTGATATTCTCTCTGGATTTATCTATCTGTGTGTGTTGGCGTTTATTTCAGTATACTTTCTCTGGCTCACAGTAGAGAACAGCTGCAAATAAGGTGCTCTTAAAGGAGTCCCATTTTGAAATTCCCTTAGACTCAAATTTTAGACTTTGAGGTCATTTTGACATCTACGTACAAACTTTTTCTGCAAATGTATAGTGCGGATTATGACGGTTCTGAAGAAAAAGATGATTTTTTAACAGTTTAGTTTTTGTCACAGGGTTTATGTCTGTATCGCTCTATAGTGTAACAGGATGTTTAAATTATAAACCACAGGTCAAGTTCAAGGCTTGCTGCAGGTGATACAGTGAGAGCAGAATATCTCTCTATATGTCGCCAGTAAAATGTTTCTGAAATTTTTTAAATATACACCTGACATTCCAAAATTCAATTTCAATTCATTATTCAAAAATTTGATCCAATCTGACATCTTTTGTTTCAAATATCTATCTTCATGCCATTATACTCTCAACCATGTCATACTGTTTATCTGTTTGGTCTCTTACAACAAATGAAATCTTAGAACCCATAGTTAGGCTCTACAACAGGGCCTACAAAATTCATAAAAAACTTCCTGGTTGGACTCATCACTGTACAGTTATTTCATTGTCTGATGCCTTGACTTTTCAGAATTATGTTTTGTATAGTGGTATTAATTTATATTTTCAGATCTTCCAAGGTGCCATTTATGGAACTCTCTGTGCATTGTTGCCCAAATCAAATTCTGGAAGTGGTCATTCAACTAGATCTGTTACAAAAGGACAACGGACATTACCAACTTTTAAAAACTGTTACGGCCAGAGGTCTTTCTTCTATGTTTATACTAAAGCATGGAATGACATTCCTCAAAACATAAAGTCCATTTCAAAACTACAGCCCTTTAAGAAGAATCTTGTCTGCCATCTGCTGGACACTTTTTGTTGTGCTCATATTCAGACGTCCTATTTTGCAAATGCTGCCTTCCTGAAATTTGGTATGCTTGTTTGTCTTTGTGTCTATGGTGTAATAATGATGATGTGATTGTGATGATGTAATTCTGACCAGATCCTTTTTTCATTTTGACAGCGACATTATCTGGACTCAGATGGGATATTTTGAGCGGTGCGTGGACCTAAGTTATAAGTAAAGGTAGGACATACTAAATTTAAATGTGCATCAAGTGAGCTACAGTTTGTGTAAAGAATAGTGATATGAGATATGAAACATAACTCATTAATTTCTGCCAATCATATAGTGAATAAGTTGTTCTCTGGGGTTCATGCTTTAAAGCTGGACTGACTTGTGATCAATAAGTTGCATCCAGTTTGTGCAATATGTGGGAAGTAATCTGCATGTTGAAAAGCCAATTCCAAACTTCTTTGTGTATTTGAGGGCTGTGGAGTCTGAGGTATGACTGCAAAAACTGTATCTATATAAGAAGAGCAGAAATCAGCTTTTGAGGGGGAAAAATCTGAATTCCTTTTTAACTTTTCAGTTTAGAGTAAAGCCAAATCAAATAAATCCAAAGCAGATTTATTAAAAATGGTAAACCAGATTAATTGTCTTGTTGCTTTCCTTCTGCTGTTGCCTTTAGTGAAGAGTTGAGTTCTGGTTCAGGCTGGAAACAGGATGTGGGCCGGAGCCACAGGAGCTCATTTACATTGATTATGACTGAGTTTGGTGTGTGCCCAGTAAAGTCTTTGGGTTGAAAATCTTTGGTTTATGCCTCTTTTTAGAAAATGAGCATCATCTGGGCAGCGTGAATGACTCTTCCTTTCCAGCTTGCCTGAAGCATAGCTGTCTTTTTCCTGGCAAAGCAGCATCCATGGCGTCCCTGCTGGCTCTGTCCTCGGTCCACCCTGTTGCTCCCCTCCCTCAGTCTGTCGTCAGCCTCGCATCTCGATCCTGCTCTGGCAGCTGGGTGGTTCAGAGTCAAAATGCTGGACTTCAGAACGGGCAGAGGATTTTAATTTAATCTGGCAGCACGACGGCTCAGTGGTTACCACTGATACCTCACAGCAAGAAGGTCCTGGGCTCAATCTCCAGTTCAGACCCAGGATTTTTCTGTGTAAAGTTTGCATGTTCTTCTCACGTTTGCATGGGTTTTCTTGTGGTACTCCGAGTTTCCTCACAGACCAAAAACCTACATGTTAGGCTGCCTTCAGGCCCCCCTCGCAAAAGAGATTTTTGATCTCAGTGCCTGGTTAAATAAAAGTTAAGAAGTTTAATGGCCAAACTAATTCTGCTTCAAATCGAACTAAAAATGACAAAAAGAACAACAACAAACAGAAACAGAGCAACAGATTTGAAGTCTTAAGTCTGATAATGAAAGTGAATTTATGGTTGAAAAGCTTACGTGTTTGCAAATCTTTGAAATTTACATTTTTTTACCTTTAAATCATGGGAGTCAAACTCATTTACACCGAGGGCCACATGAGCATTGTTGTACTTTTTTGTTTAGCTGTACTCGACTCATTTTTATGGTCACCTTGATTCACTATTTAGAACAAGAAACTCATATTTTGTGGTGGTCCTCAGAGAGTCATTTGTAAAAAACTGAAACATTTCATGATTAACTTTGACTAAACAGAAAATATCACGTTCCTCATCTTATTGCTACGGCTGAGCATCACTCACAAACAATAACTGAGCTCTACATGGTATTTCTTGCGTAGAAACAAAATTTTAACACGCCCGCTTACAAACACTGAAAAGTATATGTGTAGAGCTGACTAATGCTGTGTTCACACTGAATGTGTTTTAAGCAGCAGGAGCGGCCAGTTTACATGCAAAGTCTATGGTGGACGCATGTCTAGGGGTCTCGCTGTGCGTCTAGCCCGTTTAAGTGCCGCATCAACCAATCAGAGAGACTCATTTTTCCACGTGACGGTTTCCATGCTGCTCATAACCTGAACAGACGGACAGGAGCTCTTTAGCCGAATTCAACCATCTGTAGTTGATGTTCTGGCAGGAGATATCAGCACCAATGCGGGTCAGCAGCTAGTTAAACTGACCGCGGTGTTAAACTGGGCTCGGGACAAAAAATAGTTTGTCAGCTCGCAGCTCCTGGAGTGGTGAAACTCACCGAACAGCGTCTAGTCTCTGTTCCGGTCTGAACATAGTGCATTCAACTTGAGGCGTTGGGTGCGTTTTAGAAGCTCAAAATGTGTTTGGTGTGAACGTAGCATAAATGTGAAATAAATAATACAGGAATACTATAAAAAGTAAAAGAGAGTTGTACTCACTGTTGAGTTGTAAGTAGCAGCCGTTTTGAAAGCTGAACTCTCCCACTTTCCGACAGAAAATTCCTACTGGAAGGGTTTTCCAGATGAAATTTCCGACTTGTAAAGGGCTCGACACACGGGGAGCGACAAACTACAGCGATTAACGGCTGTCATCGCAGCCAGGGTGAAACCCGACACACAGGACGTGATAGCGATCACAGCGTTGCGAATCGCGATCTCAGATGGCTTGTCTTCATGAAATTTGATTGGTTCTTGACTCTGAAGGGGGGTGTGCATTACGGACGTGTAAACTAAACAAATCTTGCGATGCTAATAATATTGAAAAACAAACACACATCAAGATACAGTTTTATGAGGAAAAACTAACCATAAACTTCACCCTGGTGCCAACAAATTCCCACAAAGCTTTTTAGTAATCACTTGGTGAAAGTGTTAGCTAACTGCAGTGTGTAGCATACTCTCCTCTCATTGGTCAGTCAATGAAACCCTCGCTGATTGGTTGTACGCTAAGCGACAGCGACAAAAGTTGAACATTTTTCAACTTTCATATGTCGCGTCGCAAGCTTGCGTGTGCACGTCTACGTGTACGAGCGTGAAATTTCACATGCACTATTTTCGCCGGTCGCTTAGCTGGAGGAGGGCCAGCGATTGTCGCCTCACCACACAGGCTCCATAGGAAATGAATGGAGAGCGAGCGACGTCGCCTCCCGTGTGTCGAGCCCTTCAGTGGGACATTCCCACTTCCCACTACAACTGAGCCGCAGCAAAAGTAGCCAATGAGAGTGCAGCAAAACAAAGATTTCAGATTTCACTGGCTACCAACTACCTTTGAACCCTGTGCACCTAGTGGTGGGATGCCATCATTATGTGGATAAAATAATTAACATGCATTTCAGGAAATGTAGATTTTGATCAATGTTGGCTTTAAGCAGCTCTCACGGGCCACATAAAATGCCGTGGTGGACCACATTTGGCCCGCAGGCCTTGGATTTGATATACTGTATGTGCCTTAAATAAAAATTGCCTGCTAAACGTCTCTTTTTCCTAACTAATTTTTGTTTATGAACTGCACCGCTGTAGATATCATCCTGTATTAAACAGCACTCAGATATGCTCTAATTATCATAAATATATCTGCAGGATGAAAGTCACACATTTCAGTTAACCATTATTTTAAAAGTATTTTTTGCATTAGATCTAGAGACCAATGGTTCCCAAAGTTTGGATTGGGACCCCATTTATGAAATAAGTGAGACTAATTTATTTATTAGTACATTTTTGCCTTAATTGTTGTAATACTTAAACCAGTTCTCACTAATTGATATAAAAGCATATAATGGTTGACTCTGTTATTGGGGTAATTAGGATATTTGTGCACTTCATCTGACAAACTGCTGGATCACAAGATTTGGTTGATTTTTTTAGCTAAAAAGCTTTGTACAGCACAGCTGTCAGTTTAATTTAATAAAGTACAGCTTGTACACATTGTGCTCATGCATCTCCTCACATTTTAAATGGTTTTTATGAT